CAATTTTCTTGCAGCGATCTGATCTAAAAGCAATCAAAACGAAACTTGCAGGATTCACACCTGAAAGTCTCCTCTATTGAACCGAGCAACAAAGTTAGGATTTGGCAAATTAATTGTTGTGAAAAACCATTAAATTTATCAAAAAATTAGCCAAAAACGTTTTTCCTCAAAATATCCTCTTGCGCAAAGCAAAAGTCGGATTTCTCACTAAACTCGAGAGGAAAATATTGCGTTTTTAACATTAAATAACTGAATAAAATTCAACAAGCTCTGATGGATTTTCTAGGCATTCAGTGGTGAATAGCCGAATAATCGAAAAAAACAGCTGGAATACAGGGGGAACCGAATAAATCAGTTTTGGAGTTCCATGAAGCTTTTTCCACCAAATTTGATGTGTGAATCGAACAAGTAAATTTGCTGTGCGATGGTTTACATAATTAAATTCGGCCATTCATTTCCGCCATAAACGCCAAACAAATACGTGTAGTATTTGTTTGTATGGCGAAATAATCCGTTTTGCCATGTTGTTACCATTGAGCGCGTTAGTTGATGCGCTTGAGAGGTTCGATAGGTACCTTAAAAGAATCATTCCCAGAGTGGCGCAATTTACTAGAGAAACCTGAATTGAATTTGTATTTGATGGATAATCAACAAAAAACGATCGTTTGAATTCGAAATTGTAATGGCGTCGTAATGGTCAGGAATTCCGTCTTGGATTAATCGATGCGTAAAATCAGTAAAATAACATTTTAGGAAGAGTGAAGTCAATATCCTGGTGCGAATGGTTTATTTGGTATTACGCCGTAGTTTTTTTTGCTGCTGTGGATGCGTGCTGGCATCGACATGCCGATTAGTCGATCGTTTCCAGTTGAATAACGGAACCGGGATGTGGCAGACCAATGATGGCTTGTTGGAGAGGCCCAAAAACCGATCGGAATGAAAATCCTAAAACACACACTGGACAGTTTGCAAGCCTTGGCATCGACCACATGAACCAACACCATTCCTACCATTAAAAGGAACTCCCAATGGCCTTGATTAAGTCCCCGAAACGCTTGAATTAGCTGTTTATTATGATACATACGCACAGCATAGTGCGAGAGCTCGTATACGCAACGATGCTCATCGGCATGCTGTCCACGTTCTTTGGACATCAGATTAGAATGGTCAAGCACCCGGATTTAGACGCCCCGTATAATGGGGGTCTTATGGGGGAACCACAAACGAAAAAGGGCCTGCCTTTGATCATTGAAGCCCCCCATATGGGCCCAATCATGCAAATTAATTGCCTAGAACATTATAATTTGGTTAATTGATTCGGTGATTGGTGGTCAAGGCAGCAGGAGGAATAACTGTAAAACGAAGTAATTAAATTGCGAAATATTAAGTACTATGAAAATAAGTCCGCAACAATTATATCGTGCTTGTTGTTAACGGTTGATGTTCGGGTTATTGATCATCTAATTGCCTGCGTTCCTGCGTAAGTTGCACCATTCAATCGGTAAAAGTGCCGGCAAAAATTGATCGTTTTTTTGCTTGAAAAGTGTTTTCGGTATTTGGGTCTTGTTGTGTAGAAAGCTTCACGAATTTCCTCTCAATTTGGATCCAAATTTGCTTTGGAAGTGGATAATTTTGGTTTGAATGTGCGATTTGCTTTATATTTGTGAGTGTGTGTTTTTGCATAAATTGGGTACTTCAGATGAAATTTCTGCAGGGTGGCAAATAGTTCGACTTGTCCAGTTGAATAAAAAACGCTTTTCCGATTTCAACATACCAAAAGCACAGAAAGGGAACCAATATCTATAAACCGTTTTTCGAGTGAACGCGCAAAAACTTTTTGATCTTGCAGTAATAAAATGTTTCCTCTTGAACCGATTTTCGAAATTTCGACTGCATTTTGCAGAAGCTTCGAAACTAAACAAAGTCGAGTTAAGACAAAAAATCAAACAAGTTGACTTTCAAACAAACAATTCGTACATTTGTGCCACCCTGAGTATCCGAATTTTTATATTAAGTCGAATAGTAATTACAAAGCAACAATCTAAAGAAACAGAAGACAGAAGAAGAGAACTATTGTGGTATGGAACTACAGTTGAGTCCGGATATAACGCTATAAGCGAATAATAATATAAAAACACGTGGTGTATTTTATTTCGTTATTTTTACATAGAGTAGTAGAAGTTAGTAAGTATGACTAAAAAGAACACAAAAAGATAAACAAAATTCAATTTGAAATCTACTTCATAAAGTCTGTAATTTTTGTTTG